ATCAGATACCACCCACCCCACCCTTATTATTAGTCAACTACCAGTAATGTCGAGGGGGACTATAGGCCTTTTCTCTATCCCTTTATCTTTCAGGTGTAATATTTGTTTTCCTGATGTTTAAGTTACGACACTTTAATTAAAATTTGGTGCATTTGGGTGTGACAGACGAAAAACACTAACTATGGAGAGAGAGAGAGAGAGAGAGAGAGGGGAGAGAGAGATGGGGTTTAACGTGCACTCGACACAAACTCGTTCATTTCGGGACTACCACATGGTTCAATTTTATTTCAATAATTCGCTTGCGCGTAGGGGTCTTTAACAGTGGGAGGAAACCGGAGGACCCGGAGAAAACCCACGAGGTTGGACAGGCGATCCCACTCCTGCCACGTACAACCGGGGAATCGAAACCCACCAGTTGACTCAATGACAGATCGTATGATACAGCGCGCACGTGCTAACCATTCGGCCACCCAATCCCCACTAACTATGGAAGTGGAACACATCGAGAAGATAGAGTTTGGCAAATTCTTTACGATGTCCTTCAACACACGAAAATTGTCTTCGTACCATTACGTGTGCTGAATCGTTGATGGATCGCGCGCCTTTGGTGCAAATTGTATCACAAAAAGTAGATCACACTTCTTAAAGTTAACTACAATGCATCATTTTCATCTCGCCCGCTTTTACGAATATTTTGAAAGCAGATTGATTAAGCATTGCCGGTGTCGCGGCTTGGTTCCACAGACACCGAATTTTGGGTGGAGCTGGGGTCTAAACCAGTATATATCAATGCCGGAGGTCTCCAACGTGAAAGTAATGGGGCCCTTAATCGAGTCAAGAGGGATCCCGCGTTAATGTAATTGGGCCCATACTACTCGTAGGGTCCAACTACGTGAAAGTAATGGGGCCCTTAATCAAGTCAAGAGGGGCCCCGCGTTATTGGGCTTAGAGTATTCGTATGCTATGCGTAGGGACCCACTCGTCGATCTATGAGGGCCCTTTGTCAATGCTAGAGGGCCTCCGTGTGAATGTAATTGGGCCCACACTACTCATAGGGACCCTTAATCAAAGTTAGCAGGCGTTTTACCGACTTACATCGTCTTGTAACCAATTTTTCGTGTTTGATGCCAAGCTTTTTGTACGAAAACAACGAAACGAAGAACAGACATTTTACCCAATTTTACGCGGGCGACGTTGAGATAGATCTATTATATGATAAGTACTCATATATAAGTACTATAATGAATTGTGCTCAGAAAAGGCTCTATCCAGCTCGATGGGGTTTACCCGAATTATGAACCGAGTGTCTTAACTTTATATAGAATATTCATGACCATTCCAGGGAGCTCGGACCATGCCGAGCGGACCTTGAGCAGGTTAATACTGATCAAGAACTATTTGAGAACCACGATGGGTAAAGAGCGTCTGAATGGACATGCGATGTTATATTGAACGTGAATTGACTCAGACAATTGCGTTCGGTAACATAATTGATAAGTTTGTCAAATAAAACAACGCAAATTGGATTTGTAGAAGCAAATTGAAAATTTTTCTAGGGGTTGAACTTTAGATTACAAGTGAGACGATGACTGTAGGGTTTGGGTGGAAGGTGGGCCCCAACGGGATGAAATTGCTCCCCCATGCTCGCAAAGCCAGTTGCGCCACTGGTTACAGATCTTTATATCAATAGAAGTTACAATAAAGATAAGAAACAAGCTTCCCATAGACAAGATAAGAAACAAGCTTTAAATAAATGCGTTTATAAAACAAATTCGATATGAATTTCCGGTAAACAACAAGGATCATTTCAAACATGGCAAAATAACAGATTTCGACTTACCATACAGGGGAAACAACTCCGAACTGTGCGCGATTTGCATGACAATTATTGGCCTATAACTAGCTTTAAAATACAGATGTGACGTCATCCTTTGATGTTGGCGTACCATTATTTCAGACAGGCAATTGTCAAGCGCACATTATTTATACTAGTTGAAATATTGGACCCGCGTGACGTATTTCATTGAAATGCACGTGCTGGATAGTGTCTGTATTTTAAGTTGTTTAATGGTCTCGCGCAAGACATAGCGTAATATATAGATATAACCCTCGTGCCAAACGGACCTGTACCATATTAATATATTACTTAATGTCTCGCACTCGACCATTAAACTACACATATTACTTTTTAAAACATTCTTGCGATCTTAACCTCTATATACCATAACTGTTAACCACAATCACCTGACAGAAAGGGGGTTTACCATGTCAGAATATTTTATCAATACAATTTATGTATTTACTCTCAGATCCTCCTACCTCAAAATCATGACTATTTACCCAAACCTGACAAAAATGCAATTTCAGACACCCCCCCCCCCTCCTCGATTCCAGACATGCAAAAAGCATAGAAAATGGAAAACAAGTAATTGCTTTAAATTGTCTGTGTTAATTATTTCACGATTATCTGGATATTTGACATTTTTTAAAACATTACTTTTGGGTTATAACCTCTTTATTAGTAAAAAGATGAAAATGTCACAATTGTTTGACAGAAAGGGTGAATCTGCGCGAAATCTCATAAAATATTTTTCAATTCCCAAATGGATAGTTGCTTTCCTTCTGATCCTTCCGCTTCATTTTACGATACACCAAAATTTTAGCCATTTCCATCAATTTCAGACCCGGCAAATAAACTGCAGAACGCCATGCTGGCAAACGCAAAATATCGATACGGTTCATCTTCCTACAAACACAATGCTTCACACCAAATTTAAAAAAACAAAATATCGCTTATAAATTGCAACCTCTGTGGCGTTAACGCGCGGATATTTAACGGACCTTTTTTGTTATTTCCAATTCGCAGGGCAGGTTTAATGGAACTAACATATGGTTCCATTTTATTTCGCTTGGTCGAAGGAGTCTTCAGCACTGGGAAAAAACGGGAGTACCCGAAGAAAATGCCACGATGTTAGTCAGGCGACCCTACTCCGTGTCAGATACATCTAAACTACGCCATTTGAGTATGTAGTATATAAACCACGGGGTTGGACAAGCGCCATTTTGGATTTAAAGAAATAAGAAATGGGGTTAGGAAGACCACTTTTGAAATTCCGATTAAAACAAATCGAAAATTTGACCGCCCCCACCCCCTACCCTAATACACCTATGAAATTTTGTAAACGCTGTGGGGGTCAGGTTGCCATGGAAAAACGCGAGAGAGAGAGAGAGAGAGAGGGAGAGAGAGAGGCGTTTCGATGGGAATAACTATACTAGAAAATATCATGCGATTGTGACTGTTTACAATATAAAAAAAACTTGGTAGTCGGAAGTCACTATTGGGCTTCGGCAGATAACGAAGTCGTCTACACTTTTTTTTATTTGTTTCAAAGGTACAATTCTATGCAATTCAATTACTGCTTATTACTGAGCGACGTTTCGGTAAAAGTCAATTCGCAGTCACATTGATCAACATGGGTGTAATTTTATGAAAATCATCTAATACTACTTCCCATCTGTAGAACTGGCAGGTTGGTTCCGCATATACTACATAACGCTGTATGGCCTGTTGACAATCGCATACAGCTTTAACTTAGTGAACGATAGGTGGCCATTTACTACTAAACCTACACAACGGAAACCCTTACAGGGATTACAAAGGGGGAAAACGTGGCTTAGTATTAAACTCGGTAATTGGGTATCCATAAAATTGTACCATGTGTGAATATGTTCAGTTACTTAATGCCAATCAAAGAAGATATACGTCATCAATATGGAGATGTGGCTACTAGACTAATGAACCAGATTGTGAAATCAGAGGGCAATTATATTAGATTTTGCAAGAATTTGACATTTTTAATGCGATGCAAAGATAGTGCTATTATTCGCAATGGATTACTGCCCAAAACACTAGTCCAGTCTGTGTTATTATGCCATCTGCTTTGCGATTGTATTTTGTTAAAGATGAAATTTAAGCGCTAAATCTGCCTATTGTAGGTTTTTATTTCGGCTTCAAATGTTATGTAGACCGTTATTCACATGACACGCCGATAATCAACTCTTTAGGCCATCGGATGTCGGAGATTTGAACAGATTGAAATACGATAGCCATTTAATGATTTGATTTAAAAATGGACAAGCGAGGCAGAGTCTCGATCAACAAGTAATGTTGCTACGATAATAAACAATCCATGCCACGTCTTGTCAAAACTTCAAACAGTGATAACTTCGTCCAGAGTAAAGTATTTTAATTAAATTTTCAATATTTTGATTTTGAATTATCTATTTTGGAACTATTATACCAAGAAAGGTAAACTCTTTATCTAAATCTTACATAATGCATCTTAAATAAATATTTACATAATATACCTTTTGAAGTATATAATCTACTACCACCTGCTAAGTATTCCGTCGCCTGTTCGGTTTCTCATCCCGTTCAGCAACACCCTCAAGTTACGAACCTGAGTCAATCGTGTCAATTCGGACTCTTGTACTCAACCCAAATTTCGTCCCACTTTGCTCTCCTTTCGATACGGTATTTAACCTCTAAAGCATCCACAAGATTTTTCAAGGTGACCAAGGGCCATAGCTCAAACAGTATTTATCGGAAATTGTTGACAACCAATAGGTTTGTTCGACTCATAGCCTTAACCACTGTGTAACATGGCCCTATTTAGCTTCCGTACTTTAATATGTATCCAATTTCTTTTAAAATTCTATAAGTTTATTTGGTGTGGTTAAAATAAAGAGTTGACGTTAAAAGCAATGGCGACGGGCAGACTAAATAACCTCATCATAAATATTATTTAAATTTTTTCAAACGGTATGACATTAGAGTTGGTGAAACGTAACACAATATTATCTTTTTATGTTGATAAATTATACAAAGAATGTATTAATGTAAGACTTTTTCTAAATAGTTCCGTTCCGCATTTTAGTAACACCCTTCAAACAGGAAGTACGTCGTCTTCTTTCAATACCCTTATACACCGCGCTAATAGTAATAGTTAAAAACACATTACGTGGCCTTACCAAGAAAAGGGATAATGTTTAAAATGAAGTGACCTACTTAAACTGGTAAAGATGGCTTTACCAAGAAAAGAGATAATGTTTAAAATGAAGTGATCTACTTAAACTGGTAGAGATGAGATAACTTCTATTGCATAAAGTTTATGTTGTATTTTTGATAACTACATGACTGTATACAACTGTATCTTCGGGACATAAGTGAACTTTTTACTTTGTAGGTAAAGGTTATTTATATGATATTATTTAAATTGATTATTTACATGTAGCTCGTACCTTCAGCCCTATGAATACACATGTGTATTAACATAAATTATTAATAATTATATAATAAGTTTGGTTGCAGTAAATTATCCAGTAGTGTTGAAAGCGTGGGGGTTATGATCATGGCAATCAAGTATTATTGCAACACAGCTGTGAGGGAACTTTGCTTAAAAGGCCTAATGCTTGTCTCGATTGGGGAATATTAACGTCACGACTCGTCGAATTAACCTTTTATAATAAAACTAATTTAAGTGTGTTGTGAAATATTTGCAATACGGCCTTAAGGAGTTTATTATTTTGTCCCAATTACAATCAATTAACCGTAGTTTGGAGTCATCTTATTCAAACGTATCTTAGAGCAGTAGGAGTGGCTGGTGTATAATTATCCCGATTTCATTTTGACTCACCAATTCATATCGATATATATAATTATATAAACTTGTTGCATTATATAGATCATGTCATAGCGATACACGCTGATTTAAACAATGACATAAGTAATATAAATAACGATAAGCTATAAACGACCCCTTTTTATTATATCATGCCCAAGTGCGATCGTAATAGTTATGAATAGAGTGAAAACTTTTTTTTTTGTCTATTTAGACCTTGAATACGTATATTATATTATTTATTATATTATTTAAGCATGGCCAACGGGCTAATAGCTCAATACTGGTGTCACTATTTGTTTTCTTAAACAATAAAAAAGACACGTAATGATGCATAAATTTGACATGATTGTTAGTGTATAAAATACAATATTCGCAATATGTGCAGTTATTATATTGTGTAACAAATTTGAATCGGATGAATATGATTGCTAGACCTCTTTTATTTAGGTCAAAATTAACATCTCCATTTTCACTGGATCTTTTGTTTTGTCCAAGCCAGAATTAACCGACACAATAATCAAATCTCTTGAAACAGTAGTCAGGGCACAGTATTAATATTCGAAATACATCAGATGAATTAATGTTCTTATTATGGGTTATATATTTTACATTGTAGATTCAAAAATGGCAAACAGAAATATTCCAAATTTAGAAGAAGTCAATTTGGATAACTTTGACGATAATCTATCCCCAGCACGGAAACAGGAATCGGTTGGCAGACAATTCTCTGAAGTGTCATCATTAGAATACGATTTCAGAAGGGCCAATCTTGCTGAATTTAGTGATGAAAGTGATTTTCCCCTCGGTATATTTATACATGAATCTTCTCCAGAGATTCGTAGTGTTGCTGCATCTGATCACTCAAAAGCATCAGGTAGTCAATACTACAATTATTTGTAAATGTGCCCGTACATTGTTATGAGAGTATAAAACATGTCAACTAGCACTATATTTTTTGATAAATGTTGGATGTAAAACTCCCCAGACCCTTCACACCAATAGTGGTTGTATCATTGTTTAACATAACGTTTCTATTTTGGAGGGATGTTCAGGTCACGGGGCTTGTAACATGTCAAAATTTTTAAAGAAATGACATTAAACTCCCCGATTTAAAATTACCGATGACACGTAACATGCCACACTGATCAGCAGTAAATATTCGTTAGGCCTCTACAATCACTAATAAGGATGACATTACAGGTCTTTCTTTAGAAATTAAACTATTAATTAGACATTTCTTAACAAAACAAGGCCATAATCAACTGTCACTGGTATCGGATACTCGAGATTTTAACTAGATTAGAACGGTTCGCCATATAAAAATTTAATTTAAAAATGGGAAAGCGAGGCTAAGTCTCGAAAATACCAGTGCTCTTGTTAATAGAATGCACACATCTTGTCAAAACTACAAACAACGATAACTTGGGTCAGAATAATGTAATTAAAATGAAATTTGCAATATTTTCATTTTGCATTATCTATTTTCGAACTATTATAGTAAGAATGGTCAGCTCTTTATCTAAATCTTAACTAATGTATCTTTAATGAGCAAAAAATATTAACTTTTTATTTCAGCTTCTGTTGCAATTCGACAAAGTTCATTTAGGGAAACCGATTCACACGGAACCCCCTTTTCCTGTAGTTTTGGGTCGAGTCCTGAAAAGAAGATATCCCACAGTTCTGCAGGTTTGTAAACCATTAGTTGAATAACCTATATATGGACATGTCCGTAGACATCTGAAATCATTAATAAAATGGCAGTTAAATGAAATAAGCTATGAACAGTGGCAATTCGAAACCCATTATGTAATATTATGGATTTTGTAATGAATACTTCACCAAAATCAGTGTATTAGCTCATACGGACAATATACAATAATGTATTTTATTTAGTAAGAATTATTAGATTTTCTTTATGTAGAATGAAAGTGTAAGGGCATGAAAATACTTGAAATGAATTATACTTGACATTTAATCAAATAACTGAATTTTTAAACATTTTACCTGAATATTTGATAATGGAAATTTGTTATAATAATTTCAGTGAGTTATAGAGTAACTGTGTTTAATTTGAGATGTAAAGCAGGAATGATTGTAAAAGGTAAAGTCCACACGCTGGATGTACAGCATCATCTGATTAAGCAGAGGATTGCAAGCAGTTACAATGCCCCAGAACAAAGTTTGATTTTAAAAACATTAGGTGGGGATGAGCGGGATTTAACAGAAGACATTCTGGTTTCGATATTAGACGAATTATGTCAAGATTTTATCGCATTATATATATGTTACGAAGACCATGACACCAATCAACGTTTTTACACGTGTATTAACATTTCCTGTGGGGCAACAACACAAGATCTTATCAACGCATACATAGAGGCCTGGCCACATCATAATATAGCACCCAAATCATTCTGGCCATTCCATAAACGACGAAAACTTATTTCCTCTGCTCTCTTGTGCGAGCAAAAGGTTGAAGCTGGTAGTTTAATTTTACTCCAGATAACTGAACCGAAAATTATTAAGTGCCTTTACCGTGCATCATTTACCTCTGAACACTTATACATCATTAACTGTTTAACGACCGATTCTGTTGACGAGCTCAAAGGCAAGATCCGTAAAACCATCATTGATTCATCAAAAGATAAACAATTGGTGAAGCTTATAGCTTCATCTTATATGTGGTTAACACTTGGGATTCATATATATCAAGATGACGAGTGCATTCAATCACCAGTATTAAATGATACAGCTAGCAGCGTATGGTCTCATCTTGGAACCTACTACGATGTTGTAGCCCATTTTCAACCTCAAGATGCTATCCCCATAAATGTGAAATATACTGACATTGAAGGACATTCATCCTGCGATAAAATTGTAATTAAAAAATGTATAGCATCGGTAGATTTCCGACAACAAATATCCAGTTTATTACATTGTGCTCCCAACGCCCTGAAAATAACTGTAAATAAGAAAAGGTTACCAGAACGTCGAAGTCTCCAATCTTGTTGTGAGTTGAGGGCTGACTGCACCATAGAGGCAGTTAGCCGACATCCTATCATTGTTAATGTAAAGTTTGGAAAAGAGACACACCAAATATCGATTTTCAAGTTAGACACAGTGCTGATGCTGAAACAAAAATTGGCTACCCAAATTGGTAAAAGAAATATGCAAATTAAATTAAGTTCTGGTGGAAAAGAGTTAGATGATTATCAGCTTATCGAACAGGCTCATATCAAAGATGACTCCGAGGTCTTAGCAGATATTTACGAAGATCGAATCATCATAAACATGCGAAAGCGGGGCTCTAAAACTCACTATTTCGTCCTAGATGACATTAAAAATGTTCGCGTTCGCGATTTGAAATTATTTTATAAGAATGTTGTAAATCTTAGCCCTAGAGTTGATATCGAATTCTATAGCACCACCTTACCCAAAATATATGATGACAATGATTGTCTTTGTGACATTGAAAATATGAGCAGTGAACAAATCAACATCCTATATGCCCTTGAGAAACATGTTGATTCCAGAGCAACGTCTTCAAAAAGAATATATCGGTGTCGCGAGTCGGGCGATGTGGAAATTAAGAGAGGTGTAGTTGTCCACAATAAGATTTATTACGGTAAGTTATAATTTATAAACTCTAGGCTGATAACGGCATGAGCTGTTTCAGCAAAATTAAATGTAAGACCATGTTCAAAATAAACGCCGTATTTTTATTACGTAATAGCGAATATCACAAACATGCAAATGTCTCTTAAAGATTGCTTCAATCTTTTCTATGCATGACACATGAATAACTTCTACATTCACAACAAAATTAGTTATAAATTTATACCCATTAAATTATCTTATCAAATAATAAATTGACTTAAAGATACATTATTCAAACGCTAAATCTGCCTATCGTGGGCCTGTCTTCAAGCCTTATATGTTATATACATTATTAATTAGACATGTATTAACATGACAAGACCATAATCGACTATCTAGACTACCAGATGGCTTGGATTTTCTTATGTAGATTAGAACGGTTCGGCCATATAATTATTTAATCTAAAAATGGAGAAGCAAGGCTAAGTCTCGAATATACCAGTACCGTGGTTACGGTAATAAACAATAAATGCACACCTCTTGTCAAAACTACAAATTGTGATAACTTGGTTTCGAATAAAGTACATTCATTTTGCGTTATCTATTTTTAAACTATTATAACCAGAACGACCAGCTCTTTATCTAAATCTTACATAATGTATCTTTAACCTTTACGATAATGAATATACATTGCGCTCCTGGTCATTATCAATAAATTTATCCTTATTTAACCATCTTAGCTCCAGATAACGACAACGAAAATGACGATGAAAACCCAGAAGAAGACTGTCCAGATGACATGGGATCTCTTCTTCATCGGCTATGTTACAATGGTATTCGACAGGCGTACCAACACGAAATTGACACCATGTTAAACAGAATCAGCGAGGATATTAGTGTGGAAATATCTTGCCCATTTCCAAGTACCAGTCAAGCCTTAGTTCCATATACATTCCAGGAGCATGGTGATGCTACTGAACCATGTGTTACTAGAAGTGATCCTAGACCACACCCATGGTGTAAGTATCACTATGTATAAAGGTGATATAGAGAATCTCCTACGAGTCTTTTTTATATCATAAAATATCAACACAAGTCGATAAAGTTAATTTCTTTTTTTTTTACTTTATCGACTTGTGTTGATATTATTTATGATATCAAAAAGACGAGTAGGAGATTTTATTTATCACCCAACCGTTTCTTACATGCACAAATAAATAAATATAATTCTTTGCTATAGATTTCACTTTTACTGAACCTGATTACATTACGGTGTAGTGATACATCATTTTTTGACAGCAATTCAACCATTGCAAAGTTCTTTATATTGACCCATGGTTTCCCCCAAGGTCAATTAAATAAAAAAAAACAGTTACTTTTAATAAAAACTGAACTGTTCTTTGAAAATAAAATGAAATAGTTCCTTTTTAAGTGAGACATTTAACTTCACTGCCTCTTTCTCAATTTCCTTCTGAAGTAACAAAATTATATTAAGTTTCTCACTATTCGCGCTAAATTACTTTTAAGTTTAACCAGTTATTCAAACTAGAACTCATTGCGGACTCCTCATTTGCTCAAACGTCACCCATAAAATCTTAAATACCATTTTCCATTTCAGTCAACACTTTATTCAGTATACTGCGACTTTCCGCTAAACCCCCGCCCCCAAACAATATTCCCTATGGATGTTTTCACGTTCTCTTTTACTCTCTCTAATCTTAACATGGTCTTCTCTATCCTCTTACTGATTCTCTCACTAACGTTTTTACTTAATCATATCCTCTATTTAGTCTTTGGCATTTAGTCTCCTTGAAATTCCTTTTATTAAAATATTTTCTCAATATATACAAACTCGTAGTCTAAAATATCTCAAATAACATTTCACAATTAACTACCCGTCTGAAGTCGTGAATAAAATATATCATAACTAAAGCATAATGTGTCATTTAATTGACCACATACTTTTACAGTCAATCTAAAACATGTGTCATTTAATTGGCCACATGTATAACAATATACTTCCACATGCTACCTAAATGTGTTAAATAAATGACCTAAAATTGTGTCATATAACTAGTCAAAGGGGGACAATCCAGAGAGTCAACAGTGAAAAATAACCTAAACTTCAACGTGTTATAAAAAAAAAAACATTCCAAGAAAATATAACGTCTTTAAAACAGTTTAGTTGATTTACCTATATTTTTAGGCCATGGGATATTGAACTGTCACGAATCCTTAGCATTCTGTTTAAAAAAAACTGACAAACATGGATGACATTTTTCTTTAAATATCTTCTTTTTGGAAAAATCTATACGAAATTATTAAATGTATTTTTTTATTATTTTCTATTATAGTGGTAACCGACGAAGATCTCGACCGATTGGTTAAGCAGCTACCAGGGAATGAGTGGCAACCTTTCATGCGCGAACTCGTCCCACATGAAATTATAACAAAATACAGTAATAGTAATACTATCAGTGAACAAATGTTTAATTGTCTTAAAGTTTGGAAAAATCGAGAGGGTGTTAAGGCAAAAAAATCTACTCTCCAAACAGCGTTGATTAAACATGATTTGAGACTAACATCTGACACAGTGTTCGGGGAGTTGGACAACGGGAATATGAATGTTTAAAGAAATTAATTAAGACGTTTTCATTGGAGAAAAATCACAATAGCCACGCGAAGTGTCTCAAATCAATCACAATTTCGAAACTGAAGTAATGTGTTTGTTTTTGTTTCTATATAATTAAAAAGTGAAAATCGGACCAAGAAATTGCTAGCTAATGCCAAGAACAGTTTGCTTTAATGTTCCGGGATAACCATCGCCTGTATAAATAGTCAACCAATCCAGTGGTGTTTACTCAAAATTATAACGACGATAGGGTCGATATGTAATTCTAACCAGTTCGTACCCAAGGACGTACCAGTTCGTCCAATTCTTTTTATAAGGCACAATGTCAACATCGACAACATTTTATTTGATACAAGAAGTTTTAAATCAGTAAATTTCTAGAATGCAAGGACAAAATATATTGCTTAAATATCCATAGGCACTGAGTGATTAATTTATTCCTACATCCTAAGAATGCCCCCCCCCCCCCCCAAAAAAAAAAAAAATCAAAACAAATCATCATTTTCAGACCATTTTTCAATTAATGAAATTAAAAGGTAGTAGATATGGTAAGTGAGTATATATTCTGAAAGTTTGCTGTAAATCCATCTAGAGGTTTATGGTATAGGGACTTGGTGCTGCAAGGTACCTAAATAGTTCAATTTAGGTACGTAACCTTGTTTTAACTATATTTCATCCATTGCGGGTAGATGAAATTTTTTGAAATGATGACTGAAAAGGCAATGATCTATAGTATTAAGATCAAGAAAAAAAATGGGTGACACTCCACGCGTTTAGTAGCAGTAAATAATCTAAAGGTGTAACTGGGCACTGGTAACCAAAATCAACGTGGGTTCCAGTTCCATTCAGAACAAGCCGTAATAGTACTATATGTTTTCATGCAAAATCTAGAGCAACAGCCACATCAGTAAGACCAAACCACCGAAGAACTATAGAGAAACTGCTGTGCATCGCTAATGTAAAGTAAATTGGGACGTAATAGTGTGAAGCCGATATTGATACTGATATAGGAATCAGAATGGCGGCAATGAAAGTATTTAACCAATATCCTTGACGTTTACATCGATAAAGAAGATCCCTCCCCGATTCATACCAAGAGGCATCTCTCATAAAAGTTTCTGATACTCACTCCTTATGTAATTCATCTTTAAGGATGAGCAGGGGGCCACATCTAAGACTTTTTTTCTTATATCCACCACTATGCTAGTAGCACTAAATTATAGTTTTGAAAATCATCCGATATCAATGGACGTCCAACAACTGTCCAATGACTGAACAGTTGATACAAGAAAGTTTTCTGGGATATGATGACCCTGATCACATACGGTATAAGAGACTAGAATTAAGAAATAAATAAATATAAACGCATTATATACTTTCATCAAATAAGTATTTCAAATTCAAAAATATCGCTGTACTTTACTATCTACTATCTATCTAATCATATTTAATAATATCTATGTATCTGTCTGTCTGTCTAATAAGTATCTGATCATCATAACTGAGCTCACAATTACACCGTTAAAATTTTTAAACGATGAAGTTTGAAAAGCTTAATTTACTGTAAATGCCAAAAGAGCTGTCCTTGTTAAATACAATTAATCTCTCTAGACTATTTGTCAACATTTTATTAATTCGGCAATATAATCTCATGATCGAGTAGAAGGATGATGAATTGTAAATCGTAAATGGTAAAAACTAAATAGTGTATTTTATACTAGCATAGTAGTCATATGTATTGAAGTAGTACTAGTAGACAAGATCATTCATAATAAATAATAATGAAACATAAAATATCAATAGCCAATTTATGGGATATATTTGACCTTAGGACAAAACATTTAAAAAAATGACGGGGTTTTTTTGTTATGTTTTTCTTTTACTCGAAAATGACCATAGCTGGTTCTCTTTAGTGGCTCCTCATATTTCATGTGGGGTATACGGGGAGCCCATGACCAAATCTGTAAAGTTTAGTCAAAATCGCCCGACGCCGCTTAAATTGTGTCTTTTTTTTTAAAACTATTTAATTTTTTTTTATTTTGAATGGTCCTTTCGCGAACTCATTCTTAATACATTAGTTTATTTATATTGAATGAAGTGCAGATTTGTCTTGTAAGGACATACTTTGAATCAACTGTACATTAACCATTTAGTTAAAAATGTCTTTGTTTTCACACGATTTCAATAGATATACTCTTCAAAAAACAGAAGGGGATATTGAAATGCAAATACCTATGCAGGTTGTGATATGATAAATAGTCATGGACACTTGACATGCTTTGAGAGTATGTTCACAGCCGAAGAACTTATCGCCCCAACAGAACCACTGAGCTGCACATGCGGCACGCAGTAGCGCCAAACAAGTGAGAGGGGTTCATTGTCAAATTTGACACTTCAAGGAAGGGTTGATGAAAACTGCCGCGTGCTGGTTTATCTATCCATGTTTGCTTTCCTATCGGTTCTTGCATAAAATTTACTGTTTAGCGTATCTTTGCTTTAGTGCGTTACGTTTAATTTGATCGGGAGACGGGTTCGTCGAGGTCAGCGTCAACCGACAACACTGCAAGAATTGGCCGTGGCACTGCAAGAGGAGTGGGTCAGATAGCCCCAAATCGTGATTGGACGGTTGATTAGGAGCATGTGCCACGACGAATTGCCAAATGTCTGAGGATTGGTGGAGCAATTACTCATTATTAAGACAAAAATCAAAAACGTCCATTTTCACTTTTGTCGGTGTATCTCTTTGCGGTAAAATGGGGCCGTCAGATAAGCCACCCATATGAACTGTTTATGTTCATGTGTAGGCAATTGGCTTGTTATTAACATACACTGGTTACCTCTAATAAAAACAACAGTGCATTTCCGCAGTTTTGTATTGTTTCTGAATATCCCCTACTTTTTTTGAAGAGTATATATCAAATGAAATCATTTGATTAGCAATTATGAAATGGAACCCCAGTCCCCTTTTACGTTTTAACAGGCCAACAAATATACGATATTACTACCGTACTATAAAAATGAATTTAAAAAGCAAAAACATAGTTCACAAAGTAAAGAAGGCCTAATCGGCGATAATGTAGCATCAATTCTAGACAAATGAGAAAAATTAAGCTTGCAAAAGTTTGCATATGCAGGATAATGTGGCCTTAAACAGAAATGCTTCAGTGTTGTATGTTTGACTCAAAAACCATATTTGATGAAATAACATTATGGGCTAAAATATAACCGCAAATTCCAATGCTGATAATTAAGAATGAGTTCGCGAGAGAACCATACAAAATTTTAAAAAAAGACACAAGCGGTGTCGGGCGATTTTGACCAAACTTTGCAGATTTGGTCATTGGGTACCCCGTATACCTCGCATGAAATATGAAGGTCACCAACCTTGTAGTTACGGAGAATCAGCTATGGCCATTTTAGAGTAAAAAATCTCTAAATTTGAATATTTCCCATAAATTGCTTATTGATTTTTTTATTTTTTTAAAAGAACAGCTCCTTTGGCATTTACGGTAATATCAGCTTTTCAGACTTCATCGTTTCAAATTTTTGATGGTGTAATATTGTGAGCTCTGTTTTCATGATCAGATACTTATTAGGTAGATAGAGATACATGACTAAATAGATAGTAGATCGTAAAGTACAGCGGTTTTTTTATAATTTGAAATACTTATTGGTAATTATTTGTAGTTTTGATGATGGAATATTTTTAAACATGAATTATTTATCTCGTAAACCGTGTGTGATCGGGGGCATTTCTCAGAAAACTTTCTGATATCACCTGTTCAATCATTGGACAATGGACGTCCATTAATATCAGAACATTTTCAAAAATGCAATTTAATGCTATATTAGCATAGGAATGAATATCAGAAAAAAAAGGATTCTGATGTTTGACCCTGCTCATCCGCAGAGATGAACAACATAGGGGTAGTTATGAGAAACTTTTCAAAGAACTACCTTCTGTTGTGATTCATGGAGGGGTCTTCTTTATTGCGGCCATTCAGATTCCTATATCAGTATCAATATGGGCTTCACCTCATTAAACCCCTATTTACTTCACGTTAGCGATCAACAGTAGTTTTTCTAGCTTGGTCTTGTTGGCGTGGTTATTGCTCTAGAATTTGCATGAAAAAAGTATCCATTGTGGATGGGGGTTGGGGTATATGGTTCTATATGAGCCCCCAAAAAGCAATATTTATATGTGTGCGGGGAGGGGGTGGGGGTCAGGGTGGCAGACCCCCCCCCCCCCAGTGCCACCGAGTAATGTTGGGGCTGCGTGGAACATGCTAGAGTCGATTTATAGCATATCTGACCCAAGGTATATGTTGGACACTGGTTGAGCACTATGGTTATGATTATAATGTTGAAAACCGCATTGAAACCGCGTGAATTTTTGCCATTTGCGTGGGGGCATAAAAACTAAAGCGGACGGAAAAACTTAAAACCATGACGCAAAGCTCGTCATTGCGTCCTGTCACATAGCCCATGCCTATACCAAGAACCTCTCTATGAACGCCCATCAAACTTTCAGAATATATACTCACTAACCATATCTACTACCCTATAAAGTTTCATTAATATACTCTCCGTACTTGTCGTAGCAATGCTATTAATAGGGGTTTTAAAATCATTGTCAACAAATCCTGCAGAGCAACTAGCTTTAAAACTACATAATTTTTATATGATATATGAACTGAAAAAGAGCTCAAAATCTTAACCAAAGATAAAACCTAATTTTAGTAGATAATTCTATTTGGTTTGGCTAAGCACTAAAATCAATCTAATATTATCCAATCAAATACTAAAATTTGGATTTTATCTTAGTCAAAATTTCGTGAAACAGGCCCATGGAAAACTCATCCGAACTCACTGTGCGAAAACTATTCTGTATATATGTAAATGGTGCCGGGGGGGGGGGGGCAATTCCACGATTTGCGACTGTCAAAATGTTCCCAGGATCAAATAAACATTTCCACCCAGTTTTTAAAACTATTTCAGATTATTATGTTGTCACCCTGTACATCGACCAGTCTTTGATTCTTTTGAAAGCAGCGTGGTCATGGGAGGACGAACCCTATCGATATTCGACGTTCTGCAACCTTTCGAACTAGAATTCTGTCCCTTTTTTTAAAACCCTTGTGAACGCGATAGAGGCTACAATTTTCGACGGATTCTTTTCAAATTTGGTGTGAAGCATTTGGGTCATGAGAGAATGAGACCTATCTATATGCTATAGTTTTTTAACAGATTTCTTTCAAATTTGGTTAAAATTGTTGGAATCATGTGAGAATGAGCTTAAGCCTATTGATATTCATTTTTCTCCGACATTCCGTTCCGGAGTTATCCCACTTTAGGCCAAAAACAGGTTTTTTTTTTCAAATTTGGTTTGAAGCAATGTCATGAAATTTGCTCAACATCAAAGTTTTCCTTTCGGATAAGCTGCAGTTGAGACAGGGCTGCTTTGTGGGCTATCTTTACTTTGGTTACTTTAATTTTGTACATTGTAAATGTATACATCAGAGTCTAGCTCTCTATAATGTCCCTTACTGTAAACTATGGAAAGCTGTTGCGGTCAACTTCTCACTCGTTCACCCTCAAATTCAAAATCCTTGCCTTCTTGACTTCCCGCTCCCGAGGCCTCCATAGTATCACAGTAAACAAATAATTTTAAGAATTCGAGTTTTTGTAGGATTCAACAAGGTTGGGGGTGGTTGGTTTTTAAAAATTTGGAGGAACGATGGCTAAGTGAGTAAGACGCTGGGATTTTCGGTGTGGTTTCCCTTTGTCAGTGGTGCAAACTATTTCATTGCTCGAAAGTCGGCTATTTTGAAGATTGCCGCCATCTGGGATTTCGTAGCGCTGCTCTCCGGGCAAAATTTCCCTCATAGCACACTGCATGACGTATGCCCGACTTTATTAACCCAGACGGGACGTTAAACCCTATTTCATTTCATTTCATTTTTTCAAATGTAATAACAATAATTGCATAATATATGGAAAATACCCCATAGACATCAAGATCATCAAATTTGAGTCAATAGTTATGGACTTGGCGACCATTTTTGACATAATAGGCCAACATAATTTGTAATGATCTTAATGAGTTCTTTGTCCCCTAAAACCTAGGGATAGACCCCAAGATCATCAGATTTGAGTTCATAGTTACATAATTATGATCATTAAGACGTTTCGGTGGCCATCTTTTACGCCATCTTGAAAAGAAACCACTGTTCCAACGGGTCCTACTTTGGTAAACTTTTAGTATTTTATAAAGTACACTAAACCCTACCAAAATCAGTTGAAAAAACTTTTGTAGCAATTTTTGGGGGGTTAAATTGTATTTTGACCCGACTAGTTAGCTATTGGTAAATTTAATATGGGTTTTGTTATGGGCACATGGTGACTTTGAAAAATAATCCAGTAATTTTAGCACACAATAAGCATATGATAGAAATGGTGAATCCTGTTAACATAGTTCTAAAATTTAAAACCAGTGGAAACTAGGCAAGATAGGCCCACATTTTGCAAGAGATGGATAGAGAACAGGCTAAACAAAAAAGCGATTTTTCGCACAATCAGGGGCCATAATCCATGATTTTATGGTCTGAAATGCGCAAATATCGAACGGGACTGAGATATTTGGTATATAGATATATTTTAAGTTTCATAAAAAAAATTATGACTTCTAGAGGGTCCACAACCTTGGTTTTACATACATAAATCACACTATTTGGATACAAGGAGCTGCCATTTTGTCAGGTGCGATTTTCATGCAATTCGAACTCAACCGTCATTAGGGTGTAACGGTGATACATTTAAACCCTTTTTTTTTTAAAATCGGATAAAACTTGTGACCTCCAGAGGGCCCACACGCCAAAAGCATAATGTATCGTACAATCGGGGGCCATAATCCAGGAAGTTACGGTCCGATATGCGCAAATATCGAAAAGGAACCAAAATTTTGTCCGGCAGTTTGTGTCAGATTTTTACGAAATTCGATCGATGTGTAACGGTGATATATTTAAAAAAAAAACAATCATGGATCATAATCCAGGAAGTTACATTCGGATAAGGGCGATTATCGAAATGAACCAAAATCTTTGTGATACAAAAATAAATTTAAAGTTTCATTAAAATCAGATCAAAATTGTGGCCTATAGCGGGTCCACAATCTTGGTATACCCATCTACACTATTTGCGTACGAGCGGCGGCTATTTTGTCCGACAGTTTTGGTCCGATTTTCACGAAATTCAAACTCAACCATCATTTGGGTGTAACGGTGATATATTCCAACGGTTATTTAAATCGAATAAAAATTGTTACCGCGATTTTTCGTACAATCAAGGGTCATACTTCAGATATGCGCGAATATCGACAGGAAGAAGATCTTTGGGTTATATACGTGTACATGTATTTCAAGTATTATCAAACTCGGATCAAAATTGTGACCTCTAGAGGGTCCACAACCTTGATATACCATATTTTTACACTATACGCGTACGAGAGGCGGCCATTTTATCTAGCAGTTTTGGTCCGATTTTCCCGAAATACGCAAATATCAAAAGGAACAAAGATCTCTGGGCTATAAACATGCATTTCAAGTTTTATCAAAATCAGATGAAAATTGTGGCCTCTTAGAGTGTCCACAAGCTAAAAACGTCATTTTTCGTACAATCAGAGGTCATAATCCATAAAGTTTCGATCCGATACATGCCAATATCGAAAGGGACAGAGATCTTTTAGAGATAACCCCATATTTCAAGTTTCGTCAAAATCGGATAAGAATTGTGACCTGTATAGTGGCCACAAACAAATTGTGGTCTGACAGACGGATCGGACCGAGAAAGAGAGAGAGGGAGAGAGGGTTGGGGGTCATTTTGGGAATGAAAATATAAAATATAATATATTGTCCACTCGACACAAACTAGGTCATTTCAGGTCTATATTTCAATAATTCGTTTGCGCGTATATAGAGAGGTTTTTTGCAGTTGAAGGAAACTGGAGACCGCGTCAATTCATTTAGGTGGCAATGACATCGACGCGACATCGTCACCCGTGGATATGTACCTTAGAATAATTAGAATAATTTGATCATTTTCAGCATGTTTTCATGATACAAGAATGGCTGCGCATACATTTTCAGTTCATATGACCTCATTTGACCTTTGACGACGGAATTTTTCGAAAAGTCCCAAAGGCGGACTGATTACTCCTCGGCATCATATCCTACGCAAAATTTTACTATACAAAAGTTTGGTTTGGTTTTGTGCCCATTTGATGGACATTGGGTAGTATTGGGTAAGTCGTCCCGCCGTCCACAAACAAATTGTGGGCGGGCAGCCAGCCAGACGGACGGACGGACAGGGCGACAACAATATACGTCCACATGAAAATGTGGGTGTATAAAAATGCGTTAAAAGCAAGCAAAGGCAAGTTTGAAAGGTTGATCTTAATTTGGGAACTCGGTAAGGCGTTGGCACACTAACAGAAGGCCCCGGTTTCGCTCTGTAAGGCGCTGGCACACTAACCAGAAGGCCCCGGTTTCGCTCTGTAAGGCGCTGACACACTAACCAGAAGGTCCCGGTTTCGCTCTGTAAGGCGCTGACACACCAACCAGAAGGCCCCGATTTCCCTCTGTAAGGCGCTGATACACTAACCAGTTGGTCCCGGTTTCGCTCTGTTTAAGGCGCTGACACACTAACCAGAAGGCCCCGATTTCGCTCTGTAAGGCGATGGCACACTAACCTGGGCCTCGTATCTCGAAATCTTAACTAAAGATAAAATTCAAATTTTATAGATACTTCAATTTTGATTGGCTAAGCACTAAAATCAATCTAATATTATCCAATCAAATTACTAAAATTTGGATTTTATCTTAGTTAAAATTTCGTGAAACAGGTCCCAGAATGTCCCGGTTTCGATCAAGGTGTTGGCCTAGAAAGCTCACCGGGATATTACAGCCTGGTTAACCCTTATCTGTGGTGTAGGAAGGAGGGGTTGACAAGAATGAACAAAACAAAAACCGAGGCTTGTCTTCATTATTCCATTTGGTGCAGAAAACTATGACGTTAATCCCATATTTCATTTGATTCTTAGCGCAAAATGCAGTTCTACGTGCGTGCAGAAAGGATCCTCCTCCTGTTTTCAATAATCAAGCTTTTTCTGGTGTTACAATTGAATACGTTAATTCCACTTTCAAGTGGTTTACATTGTTTATATTTTTGGTTCTTTGATCTAATTGTTTTTCTGAGGAGGCCTATTGAACAATGGGTCTTTTGTCGAGAATATGGATAGTCACGTGATCAATGGGAATTTTCCTTTGAAATTGATTTGCCTTTGAATTTGGAGCGCGCGTATCTAATCCGTCATTCCTTCGCTAGCAAATCTTATTGGTCGATTTGATATTACTTTTAATCAAACGAACACCAATATTATTTTAATTTAATTGAGAATACCTGTAGCTATAACAGAAATTCGGTAATACAAGCTTACACGTTCAATCGTCGTCATGTAAATGTGTGTTACAATCCACAGTTCTGATGACAAAAGCCTTATTTATAAAAAATAAATTAACAAAATATACATGTGTTGCTATACTAAACCTCTTTGACTTTGGTAAATATTTACATTATTTTGAGTAGTGATGGGATAAGAGAAATCCGTTTGTTTACTACTCAATCGGCTTTATATCTATGGAAGTCTGTATCTGAATGAATAAAGATGGCCATTCCACACGAAAATTAACAAACACACACTTTCGACCCAGATAAAAAGATTTAGTTATTTCAAATGGGTTTTCATTTCGATAACTAGCTCAATGTTTAATTATAATAAACTTGTCTGTTCACAAAGGATTCTTTTGTGTGTAATTTCTTACATTAAAACGCATGACGCGGCAGATGTTTCCTGTAAGGCAAGAAAATAAAAAAAAAATCTTTTATTATACAATAAGCAAAGGGAATACGATATTAAACAAAAGTTTTGTCCCTTTAACGCGATAGAACAATGGCTATGGAAAGACTTCAGAAACTGTCCACCACTCAGATTAACAATATGGATAGTGTGATTAAATTTAGGGTTAGAGATAAGTTGAGGCATTGGTGAACACTGCGGTGTTCAGAAGGGTGGCAGAGGAGGCAAAAGCCAGCATACATTTCAAAGGGGCATCTAATCACAGTGAAATTAAAATTTAGTGCTTTGAAATTAAAAATTGTCGCTGTTAGCTGTCTTATTAAATTTAGATAGTATTTCATCTGTTTTAACATCTAAAATGCCACCCTTGCTCACATTAATCAGCACTATATACTTGAGTCATGAGAGAATACAATCAAGGAGTTAGCCCATGGCATCATCGAACCTCTGCAGGCCACTGGCTGGGTCGACACATTCTATAATATCTCCACGATCCAAAATGTTTGCAAACGAAGACATTAAGCGTCGTCGTTTCACATCGAACCAACTATTTTTGGTTTCTTTGAGTGAGTGGGTGGTGGGGGGGGGGGCTAATGCCAAATATGTATATATATATATATATATATATATATAGATAAAGAAGTGTGGACATAGAAGATGACAAACATAGCTGTATAATTATGTATAAGAACAATTACCTCTCCCTCTTCTGGCACTGTCTCATCGGTCAATCTAGCAAGTGTCATCTGGGCACACCTTCTAATAGGTTGAATATTCAGAGAAGAGGTGTCCGAAAATGGATTCACTGGATCCATGATATAGTAGGTGGATGGAAAATGTCGCCGCCTAAAAATATTCATAATAATAAATCGTAACCATTTCAGAATTCAATTAATATTACCAGATTTTGTTGCTATTGTTTTTTTTTTTTGGTTTTTCATTGTTGTTGTTTGTGGGGGGGGGGTCTCTTGAAAGGGCGTTACAGAGACGCCGTGGGATGCTGTCTTTAATGTCTCGCATCCAAATCGCTTTACCCGATGTTATTTATTTCCATTATCATGCTATAATTAATTAGGGAGTAGGGTGGCCGAATGATCCTCCAGTTGCCCACAAACTTCTTAAGACCCCACATACAAGTGAATTTTTTAAATATATTGATACCTTATTATTATGTTTGTCCCGAAATGACCTAGTTTGAGCTAGGTGATTACCTCTTCGACAATTATGAGGACAAGGTTATCTATGCACTTATCTTGGGAATTGGTCTAATTTATTGTTTGCTCTATTTGAGAAAACATTCTGCGTCTGCAATTGTTCAACATATGAGAATCTTACCAGGCTCTGCTATCGTACAATGATGATTTGGCAATCTGTATAGTTTGATAATCTTGTAACATCTCTAGAGCTTTAATAAATCCTTCCCTCATTTTGAAATTAGGCTTACTATTCATATGTTCTTTGAAGATGTGTAAGCCAAGGATCTCACAACAGTACGATCGCATATCTAAATCATTTTTCTGTAAATCAAAACAAAATACAGAACATATTGTAGTATATAATGTCCAATTTCCTCCATAATTTTACAAACATGATTAAGGCACATGGTCAATTCTTTGGAAGGGCTACTTGATTTAGAACAGTATCTGCAACCGGCACATGATCTAATATTAAAATATGCTTTTTATAACAATTTTCGGTAGAATGTTCATAAATATTTCATTCTATTGCCTTTTTATGTATTCCTTTGGAGCCACGGTAGCTAAGGGAGTAAGGCGCTGGCTCGCTATCCTTGAGGTTGCGGGCACGCTCCTGGTGTTGGTCGAGAAAATTCATCGGGATTTTCCGGCGTGGTTTCTCCCTGTCAGTGGTCCTGGTCGAAGAGCCTGACAAGGACAGCAGTCTAGTCTTTCGGATTGGACGAAAAACCGAGGTCCCGTGTACATATTGGTGTGCACGTAAAAGATCCCTTAGTTGGAATTCGATATAAAAGTAAAATTTCCCTAATAGCACACTGTATGGCGTATGCCCGTCTTCATTAGCCCAGTCGAAGCAGAACACTAGGACGTTAAATCCTATTTCATTCCATTTTATTCATTCCTTTATTATGCATTTTAACAAAATTTCGAAAAATAGGCAAAAATTATCAATACCCGCTATGTCACTTCTACGACATTCTCCCCTTTTCTTGCCCATGACTTTATATACAATCTGAACAAGGATTACTTGGCTGTATATTAAAATTATGTGTGAATCTCCATGTCAGTATACTAAATCTACAGATGATGTTGATTACCAAAAGCTTGAATTAGTTACCCTTTTCCAATATTTGAGCAAAAGAATAAGATCTTTCGCTTTGGCTGGCTGTGGTCGGATTATACTGATCTGTTTCTTACAAAAGCAAACCGAATAATGAGCTTGAATATCATCTGGTTTTGTCTCTATTTCAGCGTACACAGCATCCACGTTGTCCTCTATAACACAAAAACATTCAGAACTCATGTTTTCCTTTTGCGTTCGTCACTTCCCTTTCTTGAAATATTCATAACGCATCTATCTTAGCAATTATCTATATGTTAAAGTTATATTTGGAACGTGTTTAACCAGTTCTAACACATATGTATAATGTGATAATGGCGGACACCAATATTGTCCTTTAACACAATTCTATACATTATTTTTGTCCTTTTAATTTCGAAAAGTTAAGATTATAAGTTTGTTAGCTATATAAACTCCACAAATGAGAAGTGGTATCTAGAAATATTAAAGAGCTGTCGTATAACTGCATCGTTCAGTAATAGCGACCGGGAGTATGTAAATATAATTTAGTAAACCCTATTCTTACAACCTGCATTGATGTATATTTTACTACGTGGGCCTTTAACTTACCGTGTTTTTTAATCACGTCTATAGCTGGTAGTATATCAATGTCCACTGGTAGATTTTTACCGTTATAGGTCAGGTGAATTTCGACATTGATATGAAAACCAGTCATTTTTCCAACAGTAATAGAATTTAGCCAGTCTGGTTTGGAACCTAAAAATTTATTCTTTGGATTGGTCAAGTACTGTTTTATATCGTTTAAAATCTTTGGTTTGGCTTTTTTCAAATCTTCCATTGTCTTGTAATCATTTATAAACATCACCATGTCGGCATCGGCACTGTCTTGTACTGCTGTACCCTTACCCAGAGAACCACTCTACAACATATTAAAGATACATTATGTAAGATTTAGATAAAGAACTGACCATTCTTGCTATAATAGTTCGAAAGTAGATGATGTAAAATGAATAATTTGAAAATTTCATTCAAATTACTCTATTGCAAGCGAAGATATTAGCCTTCGAAGGTTTGACAGACGTGTGCAATAATTTCAACCACCGTACTGGCTGATCGAAGCTAAGTCTCGGTCCTCCATATTTGATTAAATCAAAGTATCGCTGAACCATTCTAATCTATTCAATATCGGAGAAATCTGATACCATCGAGAGTTGATTAAGGCTTGGATCAGTTAATTAATGTCTAATTAATACTTTAGAAAACATTTCAGGCCTAAAGAAAGACCTGCAATAGGCAGATTTAGCTCTTGCATAATGCATGTTTAAAGGCCCAGTATTCCAGATTAAAATGCAAATATAGAATTTAAGAACGGATATGAGAAAAATAAGCCAACAGCAAAGCTGAAATACGTCGACTCAATCTCAAAATAAATATGACAATTAATTAATTACTTGGTCAGCTATCTTTCTGTAAATCATATCGAACAATTTAATTGCTTACCACTCGGCTTAGTCTGAGCAGAAAAAAACTGATTAACGAACTTGGTCATATTAGTACAATGAAACAAAATACATGTACCAAGTTACCTCACTCTCACCTAATAAAAATTGGAGCTATCGTGCTTCACACCATCGGGAAATCAGATTTCGCATCCCTGTTTAACCCAAATGGGAATTGCAGATCATCGAATTCGGTCCAGACATTCATCTTCTGAACATTTAAAGTTTGAACATTTTACCGAAATAATCAGCAGAGTTATACTTTCTTAAGTTTCAAATAATCAAATTACTTTTCTCTACTTCAGTTATTCTCAACCAGTGTGCCGCGGCACCCAGGTGTGCCGCGAGATATTCCTAAGTGTGCCGCGAAATTTTGAATTTATGGAATTCGAATTGGTCCTTTATTTAATTGCCCCAATCGGTTCGTGGTGAAGGGACAAATACTGACACAGAAAAATCTGTGAGGAAAATTTAAGTATTTTACTGAGTACCTTGACAACCTCTGATACACTATAACCGGGCATAGCATGTAGATACTGGACCAACTTATCCACAGCATTATTCATACGTTTTCTAAACTCGTCTGGTGGCCTAACAACACGGTCTATAAACTTTTCTAAACTTTCACCATCTCTATGTCCAGGTAGATATTTACTTATGTTACTACTAGCCTGTAAAACAAAAAAAAACAAGACATACCAGCATGGCTGGATTAACCATTAAGCAAAATAAGCACGTGCTTAGGGCATCATCGGAAGGGGGCACCACAAAATATCTGCTTTATTAAATGCCGGATTCAAAATATTTAATCTAAAATTAATTAAGAACTTTTAATTAGTTTTTCATTGTTTTTGTCATATCTTACTGTTACCTTCTTTGTCTCAATACATAATGACGTGTATAAAACCTCAGAAAAACTCTAACCATAGACGGATTGTTGATGGTTTATTATTGTTTATATTTTGAATTGTATACTATATGGGGGCACAAAAATTTTGTAAGTGTTTAAGGCCTCTATAGGTCTTAATCCGGCACTGCATATCAGTGATACCTATAACTGCTAAATGTCAAAACTTCTATCATTAATACATCTAATATTCACTTTTTTAAATGTAGTTTTTAAGCTTACCGTTATGATCAGTTTGCATACAGTATGAACAAACATATCAATTTTTATCCTTTGGTCATAGCAGTCGGGTCAAGAACTTATCCCTATAAGAGGTAGGACGAAAACCGAGGTCCCGTGTGTACACATCGGCGTGCACATAAAAGAAGCATTGACAGTCAGAATTCGTAGGCCGTAGCACCGCTGTCTGGGAAAAATTCCCCTCATAGCACACTACATGGCGTATTCCCGTCTTCATTAGCAGTGTGACGTTAAACCCGACATTTCAGTTTATTTTAAGACGAGTTCAAGTCTACATTCTACTGTTGTCAACTTACTTGGTCACACTGATCACAAGGGGGGTTTTATAGCTTCAATCTTTTTATAACCTGTTTTAAAGAGCTTAGAAGATTCTAAACAAACAAAATATTTTGCTTAAAGGGCCAATCTCGATTATATTTTGGAAAATAAAACTGTTTGATTTTGTGTGAAAAGTTCTAAAATCCTCTAACTTAGTGCCGAGCAACTGACTCAATATTCGTTATATACGTTTTCAAACAACTTAAACCCGTCAGTCTTCATCTGGAAATGAAAACCGATGTGGACCATGCAATGTATAGACATCTAAAGGAACGGCAATAGATTATCAGTTCACCAAACGAAAAATCTGACCCGAAATCTTAAGGTTACGTGTCCGGATAAGCGACTTTGAGACATGGTAAATACTGTTAATACCAGAAAGTTGATCACATTATACCTATGACATATGTCACATATTACGCCCGTTACCCTAATTGTAATAGTCGTTATAATGCTTCTGAAACAAATAATAATAAACAAGCCAACAGTGAGGCTGATGTCCCCCGCCGAAATCCCAAAATAAATAGATGACACACATTAATTAATCGCACATTTATTTTTTTTTTTAAAGTATCAAGAAATCAAACTATACACCAAGTTTCATCACTCTCTATCAGATAGAATCAAGATTATCTTGTCCCAAAGCATTGACCAATGAAATTGATTAGCTCTGCTTAGCTTCAGCTCGAAATGTTAATCATTGAACTCAGTCAAGACATTCACATAATGAACATCTACATCAAGTCTAAACATTCTACCTCAATTAAAAGCAGAGTTGTTATGTTGACCAATCAAATTGCTTATCGCTCATTAGCCTAAGCAGAACATTCTCACCATCGAAATTAGTCACGGTAATGATATAATGAATCTATATTCGGAGTTCCATCGCTCTCACGTCATTATAACCAAAGTTATCGTGCCTCAAAGCATATTGATAAAATATTTCTGTGAACAGCATAATTGACTTGACTATAACAAAATACAAGAGCATACGTCGTTTTGTACAGAAAAAAATGCTTGGAAGGTGATGAAAAAATTGTTATATATTCGATTTTTTTCTCTTTCCATACAGAAAAACGGTCTTGCGGTTAATTCCGCTTTGGCTTGCCATAGAATATTCCGGCGCTATTGCACTTTCGTACCTCTACCAGTTCCCGTGGTCATAGGCACTTGAAATTTTCAGAGGATGTTAAGGGTGACTAGCAATGACCACACACCAAATTTCAGCCAAATCGATAAATAACTTTTTATTTTACCGACCTTTTAATTTCTAACGAGAGAGAACTTCATCCGTTTGACGCCATTTGCTTTGTTTACTAATTAGACTGGAATAACAAGACACTAAGACGGAAACCGACTCGAATAACAAGACACTTAGACGGAAACCGACACACTGCACTAGCTGCCTAACACTGCAGTTCATAAAAATTAATATAATTTTCGTATACTTTAATTTTTGCGCGAAGCCACCATTTTCTATAAAATACTATTTGGTGTTGATCAGTGGATTGGCCTTTAGGTGTAAATATTGCCGTGACCTTGATTTTGACCTTGAGGCCAAACTTCCCATCCATATCGGGGCCTTTGCGTTTATGCTTGCCGTGGCCTTATTTCTTACTGTATTATCAAAGTTAATGTTCGAGGTGAAAGCAGAGATGACGTCCTTCAGAAAAGATATTTGGGTCAAAGTCGTAGGTCAAGGTCATGTTACAGAAAACTAAACTCAAACTTTTCAAAGTCATTTTTGGGACATTTGACCTTGACTTACGACCTTGACCCCGTAACCATTTTCGAAGGCTATCACATTGGCTTGAATCATGAACGTTTAACTTGGTCCTGTCGCACACTGCTTGGTCAGTAAACGGTCAAACGCAGAGGGTCCGTGTCCGAAAGGAAGTCAATGGGCGTGGTCAATGTGAAAGGTCGTGGTGACCTCCACTAGTCACCGTTAACCATCCGTAACCTTGACTCTGACCTTGAGTCCAAACGTCCCATCCATCTCTGGCCCTTTGCGTTTATGCTTGCCGTGGCCTTATTTCTAACTGTATTATTAAAGTTAATGTTCGAGGTGAAAGCAGAGACGACGTCCTCCAGAAAAGATAATTGGGTCAAAGTCGTAGGTCAAGGTCATCTTACAGAAAACTAAACTCGGACTTTTCAAAGTCAGTTTTGGGACATTTGACCTTGACTTAAGACCTTGACCTCGTAACCATTTTCGAAGGCTATCACCTTGGCTTGAACCATCGACGTTTACTTTGGTCCTGTCGCACACTGTTCGGTCAGAAAAGGGTCAAACGCAAAGGGCCCGTGTCCGAAAGGAAGTCAATGGGCGTGGTCAATGTGAAAGGTCGTGGTGACCTCCACTAGTCACCTTTAATCATCCGTGACCTTGACTTTGACCTTGAGTCCAAACTTCCCATCCATCTCGGGCCCTTTTCGTTTATGCTTGTCGTGACCCTATTTCTTACTGTATTATCAAAGTTAATGCTTGAGGTGAAAGCAGAGACAACGTCCTTCAGAAAAGTTAAAAAGGTCAAAGTCGTAGGTCAAGGTCATGTTACAGAAAACTAAACTCAAACTTTTCAAAGTCAGTTTTGGGACATTTGACCTTGACTTACAACCTTGACCCCGTAACCATTTTCGAAGGCTATCAACTTGGCTTGAATCATGGGCGTTTATCTTGGTCCTGTCGCACACTGCTCGGTCAGAAAACGGTCAAACGCAGAGGGACCCGTGCCCGAAAGGAAGTCAATGGGCGTGGTCAATGTGAAAGTTCGTGGTGACCTCCACTAGTCACCTTTAACCATCCGTGTCCTCGACTTCGACCTTGAGTCCAAACTTCCCATCCATCTCGGGCCCTTTTCGTTTATGCTTCCCGTGACCCTATTTCTTACTGTATTATCAAAGTTAATGCTTGAGGTGAAAGCAGAGACAACGTCCTTCAGAAAAGATAAATGGGTCAAAGTCGTAGGTCAAGGTCATGTTACAGAAAACTGAACTCAAACTTTTCAAAGTCAGTTTAGTTTTCTGTAACATGACCTTGACCTACGACTTTGACCCAATTATCTTTTCTGAATGACGCCGCCAGTGCTTTCACCTCGAACATTAACTTTGATAATACAGTAAGAAATAAGGTCACGGCACGCATAAACGCAAAGGGCCCGAGATGGATGGGAAGTTCGGACACTAGGTCAGGGTCAAGGTCACGGATGGTCAACGGTGACTAGTGGAGGTCACCACGACCTTTCACATTGACCACGCCCATTGACTTCCTTTCGGACACGGGCCCCTCTCCGTTTGACCCTTTTCTGACCGAGCAGTGTGTGACAGAACCAAGGTAAACGTCCATGATTCAAGCCAAGGTGATAGCCCTCGAAAACGGTAACGGGGTTAAGGTCGTAAGTCAAGGTCAAATGTCCAAAAAATGACTTTGAAAAGTTTGAGTTTAGTTTTCTGTAACATGACCTTGACTTACGACTTTGACCCAATTATCTTTTCTGAAGGACGTCGTCTCTGCTTTCACCTCGAACATTAACTTAGAAAATACAGTAAGAAATAAGGCCACGGCAATCATAAACGCAAAGGCCCTGATATGGATGGGAAGTTAAGACTCAAGGTCAAAATCAAGGTCACGGCAATATTCACACCTAAAGGCCAATCCACTGATCAACACCAAATAGTATTTTATAGAACATGGTGGCTTCGCGCAAAAATTAAAGTATACGAAAATTATATTAATTTTTATGAACTGCAGAGATAGGCAGCTAGTGCAGTGTGTCGGTTTCCGTCTTAGTGTCTTGTTATTCGAGTCTAAATAGTAAACAAAGCAAATGGCGTCAAACAGACGAAGTTCTCTCTCGTTAGAAATTAAAAGGTCGGTAGAATAAAAAAGTTATTGATCGATTCGGCTGAAATTTGGTGTGTGGTCATTGCTAGTCCCCCTTAACATCCTCTAATAATTTCAAGTTCCTACGACCACGGGAACTGGTAGAGGTACGAAAGTGCAATAGCGCCGAATATTCCTTTGTCTAGGCGAGTGGAGGTATCACAAAAAGGTTGGGAACCACTGATTTACGTCTAGGCCTATAGTCCTATAGTATAGTTAAATATTTTCTACAATTAAGTAACACATAATATACTTTATTCACGTACTCTTACCATTATTATATACTCCACATATATCCAATTCGCCTGCACACAAAGCAATCAGTCCATTCTTTGAAAAATATTCGTCAGTTCTGCGAAAAGCTGCAGACGACACGAATGTTTATCAAAGGTCCACAACAGCTAATCATGTGACTGTGTGACTATAACGAGTGCGATTTTCACACCTTGATAAGAATACGTTTGAGAAAAAAAGAATACGATGTGAACGGTACAAGATAAATCTGGATAGTGAAACACTAGCCTATATTAGCTGCGGAGCCCTACCGATAGATATTTTTTAGACTTTGAGTTGGTTAAGGCCATGTCTATTAATAGAATTGTTATGTGGGGGAAATAACATAAATCCTACTTGACTAGGGGTTGGAATGCCCTGAATTTTTATATACCAAAAAATAATGATTTCGGAATTTGTAACATAGGAAAATATAAAGCAAAATATATCGATCAGAATCGCCGAGCTATAGAGTAAACTATGGGGTATACGTGAAAGGGCCATACCAAAGTGGACTAACCCACATTGACAACGTTTTGAGAAAATCGACTTCAAAGTTTATCGATGATTAAAAAATCTGTAATTCATCAGAATCAGTGATATTTTGAAATCCCATTATGTCATCAAAAGTATTTTCCACTTTTTGTGGCTCTAACCGAAAAACACATAAGTACAACAAGCGGTTGCCATGCAAGATACGCCCACACTTTGCAAGAGATGGTGAGAGAAAAGTTAAAAAAAAAACCACTATGGAAGCCTATTGCGGCCATTTCAGAATCTCGCTCCCTCGTGTTCTCGCCTTTGAAAATCCTCGACTTCTCGCTCCCTTGCCTTTGAGTTAATCTAGTCCGGTGGCTGAAGGGGGGGGGGGGGGAATCGCCACCCGAGCTGTGAATTTATGAGACCAAGTTGTTCTAGACCAGTTTTTTGCGTAGATTCCTTATGTTGACATAATATATTAATAAAACATAAATTTCTAAGACTGCCCATCTATAAATAATCTCGGCGAGAAGTCGAGGGCGAGAGTGCGAGAACACGAGGAACAGGGCGAGAATGCGAGGATCTCGCCTTTGAAAATCCTCGTGTTCTCGCTCCCTCGCCCTCGACTTCTCGCACTCGACTTCTCGCTCCCTCGTGTTCTCGCCTTTGAAAATCCTCGACTTCTCGCTCCCTTGCCTTTTGAGTAAATCTAGTCCGGTGGCTGAAGGGGGGGAATCGCCACCCGAGCTGTGAATTTATGAGACCAAGTTGTTCTAGACCAGTTTTTTGCGTAGATTCCTTATGTTGACATAATATGTTAATAAAACATAAATTTCTAAGACTGCCCATCTATAAATAAGTATTTATGATGCCCCTGGACAACTGTTTTGATTTGCGGGGAGCTGGGGTGAGGGTAGCAGGTGTGTGTGTGTGGGGGGGGGGGGGCATTATGTTATTATGTTGACATAATATATTAATAAAACATCAATTTCTAGGACTGCCCATCTTTAAATAAGTGTTTATGATGCCCCTGGACAGCCGTTTTGATTTGTGGGGAGGTGGATTGGGGGTAGCAGGTGTGCGCGTGTGGAGGGGTGGGGTGGGGATAAAATTGGCGGGGAAATGAGTTCACTTTGATTTAAATGATTTTTAAAAGCTTGATGAAACATAGAAATTTATGTTTTATTAATATATTATGTCAACATAATGCCATCACCCCCCCCCCCCCCCACACACACACACACACACACACACACACACACACACTCTATTGTAGACATTTGACCCCCTATATCTCGAAAACACCCCCTCAAACGCCTGATCACCACCCAGATTCGGAATCTACGCAAAAAAACTGGTCTAGAAAAACTTGGTCTCATATATTCACAGCTCGGGTGGCGATTCCCCCCCTTCAGCCACCGGACTAATCTTGTCCTCTCGTGTTCTCGGTCCCTCCGGGCGCGTAGCCAGCTTTTTTAAATTTGGTGGAGCTACGGAATTTTTTGGAGGGGCTGAGGATGTGGTCGGCTAAGAATGCTCCTAAGAAATCATTATTGTTGGCGAAATATTTGGGGGGGGGGGGCTAATTCGATTTTTTCGGGGCCACGGGCCCGGCTCCCTCGCTTCGTCACAATCTCGACTTCTTGTCTTCTCGTGTGTTCTCGCCTCGGAAGTGCAGTTTAAACGCATGTCCACTGACTACCGTATCGGCATTTATATTTGGACATGGATTATAATAAACGGAAATGTTTGAAATTCTAGAAAATTTAATAGTCCTAAACAATTCTAATCTCTTCTTGCACAGATAGTATTGTATTCTGTAATCGATTTTAAGTCGAATCTTTCTTTGCTCTCTAACTTCAATAACCTTCATCGGGTTTTTTGATGCGTGGTCTTGTCAGTAGTGCTGTAGGATATAGAGTCTGACAAGGGACAACGCATAGTCGTTCGAATGGGATTAAAAAAACGAGGTGCAAAATCGCATGGTAGCCGAATATTCCTTTGTCTAGACGCGTGGAGGTATGTTTCTACAGTTTATTAAATCGAATTGCATTCGGTACATTCACTAACGTTCGATAATCATTTTGGTGTATGTATTACATATTTAGTAGCTTTTTTGTTCGTATATTTTCAGTTTTCACGTCTGTGTGTGTGTGAGAGAGAGAGAGAGAGAGAGAGAGAGAGGAGTACGCATAATCAACGTCTGCAATGACACGTTCGATTTCATTAGCATTGACTTGTAATTAATGTATTGTCGTTGTTGAATACGTCCGTTACTTTTGTCAAGCATAATAAACATTAACCTGTCACAGTTAGTCGAGACTTCCATGTTTTGTTTGTTCGCTAAAACCCCCTACAAAAATGTAATATTAAGGAAAAGAAAATTAAGATCGCAGTACTGTTCTTAACCATGTGAAGGTGCCATATACGCAAAGTTATCACTGTACATAGGGCTTTTGTGAACTATGGTCTAGGGCGTATAGATAATTTTGATGCGCGACCAATATGTAGACATTAAATTGCTGTCTTAATATTCGCGTCAATTAATACGCTTGGGATAAGGAGACCCGTACACGATTAGTTACAGGGTGTGGTGTATTGGTGATGTTGTTAATATACTGGATGTTAAGATAGTCCAGGGTTAGATAAGGTCAAAGGAAGTAGGCGACTCTTAGATTTGAAATGTATGAAGGGTGATTCAATGTGTAGTAGGAAGGGCAGAGTGGGAGGTGAATAATTGGGATGGTAACACACTCTGAGCCTGATGTTACTTCTATAGTAACTTAACGTGTGACCTACGTTTATAATATAATTTACTAGCAGGATACCCGGCTTCGCTCGGGGGTCATAACTCCGAAACCGGAAGTGGTAGACTAACGCCACCTGGCCTATGTTACTCCCCGGTCGGAGCTACCCCTATACCCCAAATTTCAGACTCGGGGCAGAGCTAGTGTAGCCGCCAACCCGAACAGACAGACTTCGCTCGGGGGTCATAACTCCGAAACCGGAAGTGGTAGACTAACGCCACCTGGCCTATGTTACTCCCCGGTCCGAGCTATCCCTATACCACAAATTTCAGACTCGGGGCAGACCTCGTGTAGCCGCCAACCCCAGAACAGACCGGCTTCGCTCGGGGGTCATAACTCCGAAACCGGAAGTGGTAGACTAACGCCACCTGGCCTATGTTACTCCCCGGTCCCAGCTACCCCTATACCCCAAATTTCAGACTCGGGGCAGATGTAGCCGCCAACCCCAAACAGACAGACTTCGCTCGGGGGTCATAACTCCGAAACCGGAAGTGGTAGACTAACGCCACCTGGTCTATGTTACTCCCCGGTCCGAGCTACCCCTATATCCCAAATTTCAGACTCGGGGCAGAGCTAGTGTAGCCGCCAACCCGAACAGACAGACTTCGCTCGGGGGTCATAACTCCGAAACCGGAAGTGGTAGACAGACAGACAGACAAACGACAGTCACAAATATATATATAGATAGATATAAAAGTATCATAACAATGATGCAACACAAGAGGATCGTTACTATGCCAAAATGATCCAATGGTGTATTCGAAGAGTTAGCCAGGACTTCAGTAGAATTTGACACATGGAATTTGTAGCTCAGACAAGGTTTGGACTTTCTTGGCTAATACAAGTGCTGGTGTGAGTGTGCGCATTTTACAAATTATGAAGATACATACCAAAGAACAAAGCACAGATAATGTCATTGACGCGATAACAAGAATACTTTTATTATCAAAGAATTATGACTCGATTGGAACATCATTATTAATCATAGATTCCGAAAGTGATTTGAATATAATAGAATCGAGTTTTGCGCGTTTTACCAGGCGATTAAGACTCAGATGATTTGCGTTATCATCAGCTATTAGTGATGAGAATTGGTGCTCATAAATGTAAAATTGTGGTAGATTAGTAACGTTAATAGGTTGCGGGGAAGGTTGTATCTCCTGCCAAAGAAAACAGTTCTGCGTCGGAGAAGAAATATTGAAGTAGAGCCAGATTTACAGGATGGAGTTTTGTTGTTCATGTTGTGTTGACAACACAATTTCCAAGACTTTCGGCTAGAAAGAACTCCTGGGTATACATTGAACACTTACATGGTACAGACATGACACAAAATTTACAACCCATAACCATGCGTTGACCATAATCACAGTTTATGGCTAAGAGTGGAGTGTTATACAGTATAACTGAAGAGGGCGTTAACTCTAGAACAGTGCTAGGCAAAGAATTCATTCGGAATCTGAAGTTACACATGTTTCTGATCCCATGCTTATCGTCTAACACGAGCGAGAGCTCAGAAGTTGGCACAGTGCTAGCTGACAATGCCAGCTTGTTAACACAATATAGGTTATACCTTCACAATTCTGAATACGTTTGAAGTTAAATGCAACATAATGTTGGTGATCGTGAGATATAGCAAAATATTGTTGCAAGTCCAAGAGTTGAGTCACATGAGAGGAAGAGGCATCCATTGTTTTAGTTAATCTTTTAGTTCTGATTCAATGGGGGAAATACAGTATTGGTAGACATTATTCTCTCAAAATGGTAGCCAACTTAATTAATTAGGGTAATTAATTTATTTAAAACAATAATTCAAAGATTATACCCAGAGATATTAATCTGAAAAGGCGGCCACATGCATTTAGCTAATTCTAAGTGACTGCCTATAATCTACCCCTCTATAGTATTCTGGAAATCAATTGGCGGTAAAAAAAAAAAGAGTTATCTCCCTCTC